GAATTATCAAGTAGTGAAGTCACACTTAAGTGATGCATACTTAGGCTAATTTGGATTTATTTGGGGAGATTCCCAAGGATTTGTTAAAGAAATTCCACAGTTCAAATTCAGTCTTTCTGACTGACAGTGAAAGTGGTGTAGCTCTTATTTAAAGATCTCTGTGACTTATGGCCTCAGGCCATTGTGGTCATTCTGGACTTTTTTAGAATATTATCTCTAAATTCTGCAACTCTGACTCGTTAAAAAAAAAAAAAAAAAACCCTTGAACTTCTCTCTGCCCCACAGTAATGTTGCTACAAGATGCTGTACCTTTTATTCTTAGAATGGGAACTTGAATGAAAAAAAATAGCTGATGGTCTTGCCGAGGATGGAAATACTGTACCTCTTTAAGATAATAGTTGCTATTTTTAGACAGACTTACAAAGAGCTGGGAAATGGTGATGCTTCTAATCTTCATGCAGCCTTAGGCATGAGGAGATGCACTCTCGAAAATATCTAGTTATTTAGCAGTTTCTCCAAATAAGTTTTTGAAAATACTTTATTTTTAAAAGCATATTTGTAATAATGAGTAACTGACTCAGCCCTGGTGTTTGAGAGAGACTCTTGAAGTTCCAGTGCAAAGTAAACATCACAGTTTATGAAGCAAAAATAGATTTCCATAGTAAATCTTAGAACAATGGTGCATTCCTGGGCCTGGGGTTCAACAGTGGGTATTAATTCAAAGCAGCTGGATCCTGGGATGAGAGTAAAACAGCCCTGTCTTCCCACTGTGGTCTTGCAGAGCGTGATATGCGGCGATATTTTGCTGCTTCTAAATGTTGCTTTATCTTTTTAGTGGGTCAGAGATAGACTGTAGATATACGAAGACTTTTGCGTACTGATGGCCAAGCTTTTTCTTTTCAGAAAACGGCCCAAGAATAATGCTTCTTTCATAAAAGGCAGACCCGTTCCTTCCCTCTGAAGTCTGCTTTCTTCTGTTCTCTCACTTTCCAGGCTGGATTTTATCCATGTTCTTCTTTATCTCGGTCCCTTCTGTAGTTTACATGTAGCGGTCACCGAGTTGTATTTTGGGATTACAGCGTATGGGGCACTGTGAAACAATTACGAGTTGATATGCTTATAAAAGCAATTATAGGCTTCACTGGTAAAGAATCTGCCTGCCAATGCAGGAGATCTGAGTTCAATCCCTGGGTCAGGAAGATCCCCTGGAGAAGGAAATGAAATGGCAACCCACTCCAGTATTCTTGCCTGGGAAGTTCCATGGACAGAGGAGCCTGGTGGGCTATAGTCCATGGAGTCACAGGAGAGTCAGACACGAATTAGCAGCTAAACGACAACAGAAAGTAATTATATAGCCAAAGCAAAAACATTATTAGAGATTCTGGGGAGCTCAGAGGAAGGAGGGTAACAGGCCCTTCCAGTCAGGTGGTCCTGGGGCACCGCCAACAAGCTCGCCTCCAGTTCTCAGGAGTAAAATATTCCACAGTTGTTATGAGGGATTGATTATCGGGAAGCATTGATCTGCATATGTCGGCTGTGTGTGTGTGTACACACACACATACATGCATATTTAATGATGACATTCTGATCCTTGTTTCAGAACTAAGCTATATTCAATTTTCACCAAGTTGGATCATTTCTCCAAAATAAATCAGGAGATGCTCCACCTTGGTACTCTTCATTTATAAAAGAGATGAAGGAACCTGCCTGCCCGGGGCATTTTCTGACATTTTTCTGAAGAAGGTTTGTGAATGAAGTGGAGAATTTTTTAGAAATGGGGGGGTCTACCTGGGAATTTCGTTGGTGGTGGGTTGTCATTGTCGCTTTTTTCCCATAGTCCTAGCAGAGTGACACATGATAAAACTCTAGGTAACTGAAAGTGTTAAAAGGGTTTTTGAGTTGGTTGCATCAGGGGAACAGATGGAGTGCACGTAGGTGGGGAGGCTACTGTTTAAACGGAGGAGGGTTACTGTGTAGTGGACGGGCACAGATTTTACAGGGTAGCTGGGGACTGGCTAATACATGTGCTGGGAAGGACAGTAAAGCGGAAGCCGAAGCATATGGTCAGGAAGGGAGTTAAGAGGCCGCCGACAAAGAGGAAGAACGTGGCAGCTGAACTAATAACAGAGGGGAGATGAGAAGTTGGTAAATTGGGTTTTAAGTACCTAAAGGTCTTAAGAAACTAAGAAATCTCAGGTAATAAGGAAATCAGTTTGGAAATGTTAATATTGATACCTGCACTAGGGAAGTGTTTACTGAAGAACAGAGAAGGGAATAAAGGAAGCAGGTCTGAATGATCCGCCATGGCTTCACGGATACACAGATGAGCGAAGCGTGTCGAGGAAGTGAAATCAGGTTAAACCTTCAAGTCACAGAGGCAGGAAACCAATAAAGGACGTTGAGATGTAAAGAAACCGACCTGGAACCAGCGACCAGACAGCGCGTAGGACAGACAGACAGCTCCAACCTTTCCTCTTCGTGTTGGCATTTGGATGGTTCTCTTGTTTTTTCTTTATCTTAAAAAAAAAAAAAAATTAGGTTCAGTAAAACAAAGCAAAACAAGCAAACAGACAAAAGTTGCCTTGGCTGTGTTGGAACAAGGCCCTTCTCCTGTTGTGTTCTTGGCTTGGTGTGGTGAGTTTGCCAAGCGCACGGGCCAAGTCATCTCTTCATCTGGCAGGAGGTGGTTTTTGCCCTGCGTGGACCTCAGATCATCTTAGAGATTCATGAGATTATATTTATCAAGGCACCTCCAAGGAATCTGAGGAGCTAATACCAGCATAACAATCACTGGTATTTGTGGAGGACTTAGGCTTTTCAGATATTCTTGTTTGAGCTTTCAAATCGATTATGCGGCTTGTCGCTAACAGCCTCTTTCTTGTTTGTGTGTAATTAACCAAAATATGAATTAAAAGAGAGAAACAAATGTAGGAATTCTATCATTATTTAGGAGAAAAGCAATGCAATAAAACATTAGAAAAGACCCTGATACTGGGAAAGATTGAAGGCAGGAGAGAAGGGGGTGACAGAGGACGAAATAGTTGGATGGCATCACTGACTCCATGGACATTAGTTTGAGCAAACTCCGGGAGATAGTGAAGGACAGGGAAGCCTGGCGTGCTGTAGTCCACGGGGTCACAAAGAGTCAGACACAGCTGAAGGACACACACACACACACACACAGAGCGCAAAGAGGGCACCATACTTAGAGCTACTTTAAAATATATTCTGAAAAAAACCACAGTGCAGAGTTTTAGAAAGACCCCTATAGATCAGTGGGTCACATGCCTTTTTAATTCATGAACTCCTTTGATAACTGGATAAAAAAAAATTATGGATCCCCTGTCCCCAACTCAAAAAATAAAAAAATATGATCAGAGGTTCCCACAAGGGAACCTAAATCTTGGTAATAAATGTGTGAATTGGGCCAAGTGTAGACAATAAAGAATGTTGGTACATTTCAAACTAGAAAGTAATGCCGCGTTAAGGCAAGAATGGTGGGGTTTGTGAAAATCAAAGTGTAGTTGATGAGTTGGATAGATAGCATCACTGACTCAACAGAAATGAATTTGAGCAAACTCCAGGAGATAATGAAGGACAGAGGAGGGTGGCATGCTGCAGTCCATGGGGTCACAAAGAATCGGACACGACTTATCAAATGAACAACAACAGTAGTTCTTTTATAATATTATGTTAGTTTCAGGTGTTGGCTATATTTCCCTGTGCTATACAGTATATCCTTGTTGCTTATCTATTATAAATATAGTAGTTTGAATTATTAATCTCATACCCATAATTTGTCCCTCTCTCTTTTGATAATCACAAGTTTATTTCTATATCTGTGAGTCTGACAATCATTTGTGATATTTTTTCTTAGATTCCACCTGTAAGTGGTGTCTTACAGTGTTTGTCTTTCTCTATCCGACTTATTTCACTAAGCATAATAGTCCCTAGGTCCATTTATGCTGCTACAAATGGAAGTATTTCATTTTTTTTATGGCTGAGTAATATAATGGAATATTATATGTTCCAAGACATAGCTCAGATGGTAAAGAATCTGCCTGCAATGCAGGAGACCCGGTTTTGATCCCTGGATCAGGAAGAGCCCCTGGAGAAGGAAATGGCAACCCACTCCAGTATTCTAGGCTGGAGAATCCCATGGACAGAGGAGCCTGGCAAGTCACAGTCCATGGGGTCGCTAAAAGTTGGACTAACACACAGTATTCCATTGTGTATGTATATTGTATCTTCCTAATCCATTCATCTGTTGGTGGGCGCTTGAGTTGCTTCTATGACTTGACTGTTGTAAATAGTGCCGCTATGAACATTGGGGTGCACATATCTATTTTTATGGATATATACTCAGGAGTGGATTTGCTGGATCATATGGTAGTTCTATTTTTATTTTTTTGAGGAACCTGCATATTGTTTTCTATAGGGGCTGTACCAGTTCACAGTGCACAAGAGTTCCCTTTTTTCTACATCCTCACCAACATTTATTATTTGTAGACTTTTCCTAATAGCCATTTTGACAGGTGCAAGGTGATAGTTCACTGCTGTTTTGATTTGCATTTAGCGACTTCACTTTCACTTTTCACTTTCATGCGTTGGAGAAGGAAATGGCAACCCACTCCAGTGTTTTTGCCTGGAGAATCCCAGGGACCGCAGAGCCTGGTGGGCTGCCGTCTATGGGGTCGCACAGAGTCGGACACAACTGAAGTGACGCAGCAGCAGCAGCAATAGTTTGTGATGTCGAGCATCTTTTCATGTGATGTGCTATTGGCCATCTGTGGGTCTTCTTTGGAGAAATGTGTCTTCAGGTCTTCTGCCCTATTTTGGATTGGGTTGTTTAAACAGTTTTTTTAAAAAAAACAGCACCTGGTAAATAGAATACGTTTGAGGAAAATGTGGCACCTGCTCCCCCCAGTCCCTCCAGTTTGCAATCCTAGGCTTTTATATGTTATGTGGAAACATGGGAAGTTCTCATTTTTTGCCCTAAGGCACGACAACAAGCTCAAACGCGTCATCAAATGGCAGAGGACAGCAAAGCAGATTACTCATCAGTTCTTCAGAAATTCAACCATGAGCAGCATGAATATTACCACACTCACATTCCCAATATCTTTCAGGTAAGTGGTTCAGCTCTCTCAGATTTGCTTGGCTTAGAAACATGTTACTTGGAATCATGATTTCCAAGTATTTATAGCATTCTAAATTTCCTCTAACTCAAATCACTTTTAAAAAACATTCAGATTAAGCACATACTGACATTAAGATGAAACATGACATGAATCCCAAAATTAATCAATAGACTTTGAAAGTTTCCTTGGTTTGACCCTGCAACCATTCTTGGTCAGACTTAGAACTGGGATTCTTACATTAACACTTTTTTCGCTAAAAGGACCATTCTACTTACAAAAGTGCCAGACTTACCTTAGGAATCAGAGCAGCATTAAGACAGTCGTAGGATTTGAACAGGTGACTATGAACATTTGGGGGGGAATGAATCTGTTGGTGGAATTAATGTTTTCTTTTTCTTTTTTCTGGATGTGTACCCTGGAGTGGATCATATGGTAGTTCTATTTTTATTTTTTTGAGGAACCTGCATATTGCTTTCAAAGGGCTGCACCAATTTGCATCCCCACCATCAGTGTACAAGGGTTTTCTTTTCTCTGTATCCTCACCAACATCTGTTATTGGTAGACTTTTCCTGATAGCCATTTTGACAGGTGTGAAGTGATAGTTCCCTCTTGTTTTGACAGTCCTGTTGTCTTTCCTTTGGATTGTTTTTCTTTGGGCTACTTTAAGTTGTCAAGAATAGTATGAGAAAGGATACATGATACTGTTCTCCCCACTTTAGGAATTTTTTACAACTTCAAGTTCCACTGTAGAATAAATAACAAAAATTTGTATCATGGTGTCTACACAGCAAACAAGAACTTCCAGCTTGCAAAGAAGAGGGTGGGACAAATTGAGAGAGTAGCAGTGAAACATACACATTACCACATGTGAAATAGATGGGGAGTGGGATTTGCCGTATGATGCAGGGAGCTCAGCGAGGTACTCTGTGACCACCTAGAAGGATGAGATGGGGGGTGGGAGGGAGGTTGAAGAAGGAGGAGACGTATGTATACTTATGGCTGATTCACACTGTTGTGTGGCAGAAATCAGCACAGTATTGTAAAGCAGTTATCCTCAATTAAAAAGAAATTTAAAAAACAAAAAACCCCTCCAACTTGTAGAAGGAAGGTACACTAGTTAATCTCAGCCTGTGTTGGGTCAAGGCAGTTAACCCTGATGCCATGCTTTTGGTAAAGGATGAAACAGTGGCTCAAAGATGGAGGAAATGTATTTGTTTTTGGCCACCTCAAGCGTCATGAAAGAATCTTAGTTCCCTGACCAGGGATCAAACTCGTGCCCATAGTAGTGGAAGGGCAGAGTTTCAACCACTGGACCACCAGGGAAGTCTCTAACTGGAACTTTTTTATAAGCCTATTTCCCTCCTAGAGAAATTTTTAGAGGTAACAATGCTGCCAAAAAACAACTTCCTTAAATAATAGTAAACCAAACTAGTTTTATGCAAACTCTAATGTTACAGAAAATACAAGAGATGGAGGAGAGGAGGATAGTGAGAATCGGAGAATCAGTGAAGACATACGCAGAGCTGGACCGGCAGGTGATCCCCATCATTGGGAAATGCTTGGATGGAATCGTAAAAGCAGCCGAGTCAATTGATCCAAAAAATGTAAGTACTATAGTCTGGACTTAATGTATAACTGTGGTTCCGTTATTTCCCTGTCCCTTTCCACAGTGACCATATTTAATCATCTGAAAGTAGTTGCTTTCAGTGGTCACAAGTACTTTCAACAACAGCAATACCTTTTTAGAGTTTTTTTAATTCAGCCCTCCATGGTTTGGATTTAGTGTAGTCCTTGGCACATTTGGGACTGAGGATGTTAGTATAAGTTTTGTTGTTAGCGTTTAGTCACTAAGTCATGTCCAACTCTTTGGCAACCCCAAGGACTAGCCCACCAGGTTCCTCTGTCCATGAGATTTCTCAGGCAAGGATACTGGAGTGGGTTGCCATTTCCTTCTCCAGGGGATCTTCCTGACCCAGGGACTGAACCCACTTCTCCTGCTTAGCAGGCAGATTCTTTACCACTGAACCATCAGGGAATCCTGAGAGTATAGGTTTAGGTTCATTTAACAGTGACAATAGTGTCTTAAGACAGTTTATTTTTCCTCCCATGTGAAGGTGTCTACCAGTCAGAGCATCCAGCCATGGTATGGGCAAATGATCTGCAAGTCCTCAGGAATTCAGGCTTCTCCTAGTTCACAACTTTTGATGATGTGACTTTCAAACTCTGTAGCTCCAGCCATCACATCCAAATTCCATAAAGCATTACATAGAGAAGAGTCCACACTATCTATTTAAAGAAGCCTTCTAAAATTGTTCACTGTACTTCTGCCTATGTCTCAGAGATCTCAGAAGTCAAAACTTAGTCCTGGGGCCACTTCTTGCTGTACAGAAGGCAGGAGAGTGAAGCCTTTTTGCTGGGTAGCTGTGTGCCCAGCTTAAAATCAGGGTTCTTATTACTCAGAAGGAAGGATGATTGGCCCTTACAAGACAACTGACATCTCTGGCACACGTGCAAATTCCAAGTTAGCTAAAATAGCTATGGCAAATTAGAATGTGGGCTCATGGTAGAAAGTTGAGATCTTCCCAAATTGTCTTCTCTAATATTTTTTTCTTTTTTAATCAGATATCATTGAGCTAGAATTTTATTACAAGTCACAGGTGCTTTTGTAATACTTTAACTATACATCTATCTGTCTTGGACACAATGGTCGTCATTTCCTTACACACTGGTCTTCATCACCTGACCCCAGAAAGACTCTGAACTCAAAGTTCCTAGCAGGGGGACACCGCAGAGAAGGCGGTCAGTTCCCTCATTTATTCAGCTAACGTTTATTCTATCATTATCGTCAGGCGTCATCCAGGTGCTGGGGATGCCGTGGAGGAAAAACAGAAAGGAGCTTACATTCTAGTGGAGGAGAGACTTTGAACAAATATATATATAAAGGAAAATTATTCAATAAATTCCTATCTTTGAACCACAGTGAACCAAAGAAATTGGAGAGGGGATCTTTTTTTGCTTTGATTTTGTGTATGCCAAATTGCTTTAAGACCTTCTGATGAGAATCAGTTCTTATATTACTGTATTTTTCGAGGGAAGGGCTTCCTAGGTGGCTTGGTGGTAAAGAATCCGCCTGCCAAACAGGAGATGCGGGTTTGACCCCTGGATCAGGAAGAACCCTTGGAGAAGGAAATGGCAACCCACTCCAGTATTCTTGCCTGAGAAATCCCTTGGACAGAGGAGCCTGGCGGGCTACAGTCCATGGGGTTGCAAAGAGTTGGACACAACTTAGCAACTAAGCAGTGACAATTTTTCAAGGGAATTGCATAATAAATGACCCAATTTGTCTGCTTTTTGGCAAAGTTGTTCTTAATATTCGTTTCTCTAAATGTAGAAAAATAGTTATTAAAATTATCTTGAAATCTCAACTAGATGTATAGATTTACAAGTTATTCTTTCAAATGATAAATACATTACTAGAAAAAAATCTGTTAATATAACTTCCTTAGAATGTCATCTGTGTGAGGGCATCATAGTTCAGTGTGTGGAAAGTATTTACATGGATTGGAACATATTTGTGTGTAATGGGTGTCATTGCAGGATTCACAGCTGGTCGTAGAAGCGTATAAGTCTGGGTTCGAGCCTCCGGGAGACATTGAATTTGAGGATTACACTCAGCCTATGAAACGCACTGTGTCAGATAACAGCCTTTCAAATTCCAGAGGAGAAGGCAAATCAGAGCTCAAATTTGGTGGCAAATCCAAAGGAAAGTTATGGCCGTTCATCAAAAAAAATAAGGTACTGATGACTGGACCCAGTGTGATATGAGTGTTACAACATGTGGAGATGTTCACTCTGTCTTTTAGTCTTTAAAGGAACGAAGATTTTTTTTTAAGCTTGTAGTTGCAGAATGCAAACAGGAGGCTAGTGTGCTGTTTTATTTTAAGACAATCTCTCTCTTTGGTGGTGGTACCTTGGCCATGGCCATTTGTCTTATTTCAGACGCATTTATCACCTGCACTGTCACCCACACTAACAGACTACTGACCTCTGGCCGTTTCGCATCACGCCTTTCACTCCTAAGTCTCCTAGATTGCTGGTTCCCTGGGCTGAGAGAAGGGACGTTGTGCCACATTTCTATAACCATGTATCAGCATCTCTAACTGAAATGGTTTCCATGAATTAATAACCTAGTTTTGAGCTCGTGTTAACATATGTATCCATGAACATTTTTTATTTTCTTTTTAGAGTGTGATACGTAGGTGCATGACAGCATTAACCTGGGCATAAAGGGTGTGATCAAGGCGACATGAACCACTTTAACCTTAGAATAATTTAATATTTCATTTTAAAAGACTGTCTTGCTGTTTTCACAACCTTAGCATTTGAGGACTTTCATTTTCTTCCATCTAGCTGTGTTAGTCTAGGTGGTTTAGAAGTATTTACCCTTCTGGCTTAGACTGGTTTAGAGTAACTGGTCAGAACAGTAGTTTGCATGTGAAAGTCTGCATGAGCTTCTTGTCAGATATTTCTTGCTCTTCCTCTGTTGCTTTACTTACTAAAACTCCCACTTTCACCATATTCTCCATCTAACATGTCCTTCCATGTTTTCTTTTGGACCATGGCCTAAATTTTTAATTGTTTGTGTTTGACTTGCTTTGGATTTCAAATATTATTTGATGCTTATTTTTGTTTTGTGTCTTATCTTCTTGTTTCTGATTTTTTACTCTGTCACCGCTCCATCTCTTACACGTAGCTTATGTCCCTTTTAACATCCCCCCATCAGCCTCCCCCACCTCCCCCTGCCTCTGCCTCACCCTCTGCTGTTCCCAACGGCCCCCAGTCTCCCAAGCAGCAAAAGGAACCCCTCTCCCATCGCTTCAACGAGTTCATGACCTCCAAACCCAAAATCCACTGCTTCAGGAGTCTAAAGCGTGGGGTAAGTTCTCCTCTCAAGTCCTGTCTCTCTGATGCGCTTTGGTTGCATGTTTTGTTCTGCATAACTTAATTTTGTTTGTGAATGACTCCATTGTGTTTTCCCATAACATAAAACAATAAGAACCTATGATTCATTATAGCCGGAAAGAAGAAGAGCCACAGAGAGAGCAAAAAAAGAAAAAAAAAGAAAAAAACGGAAGGAAGTAGGATGGATGGAAGGAGAGAGAGGGGAAGCCAGCCAGCCAGAGTTCTCTATTGTCTGTAATCCATTTTGGTGGGACCTTGCTTCATTTCCTTTCTGAAATATCTAAGTCATTAATATTTTACGTTGATCTTACCAAAAAAAGGAAACTTGGATTCAGTTTCTAAAGCTAGTGACATTTGAAGAGGTGGAAATCACTGCACAGTCAGAAAAGATTTGCTTAATAATTACTGAAACAGTGTATAAAGAGGGTACTTCTCTCAGCTATGCCTCCGGGTCTGTGGGGAAATGGTATGGATTACAGGGGTTTCTTTAGCTGTTTCGGTGAATTTACAAGCTGTGGATCAAACATCTGGTAACAGATCTGACTGCATAAGAGCTAGTGCAGTATGTATCTTGAAAGGGTGAAATAGTAGCAGCTGATATTTATCGTATACTTGTCATTTGCCAGACTCTGTTCTATGTACTCATTTAATTCTGTCAACCACCCTTTGAACCTAGGTACTAAGATTTCTTTATTTTACTGATAAGCAAACTGGTACCTACAAAAATGAAGCTAGGAAGATATATAGCCAGGATTTAAAGCCAGAGAACCTGTTTATGATCTGAGAATCTATGTGTTCACACTCAAGAAGAACCTGTTTTATTCTGATTGACTCAGTTTTGCCATCCTAATTAAGATCACATGTGCTTAAGTCACAGGGTTTTATGGAATTGATCAGCAGTCCAAAGCAGATACCACTTTGGTTTTTTAGAAAAAAATTGGACGAGGTCATTCATTTGTAGCCTCTTGAATAAACCTAAATGGTCAGTCTAAGCCATCCCAAAATACTCTTTATAATGAATAATGAGTAAACAAACATTAAATGCATATGTGTTAAGGTTTTCTTTTATTCTGTTCTGTGAGAGTTGCAATATGGTTGTAGTGGAGATGTGTTCCTTGTAACAAATTTTTACTTTTCCTTTCCTCTGTGTATAAAAGATGTTTTTAAAAAATAGCTACATTGTTACCTTTTAAAATAAGGGGCAAAACCCTCATTTTTTTATATGTTGATTCCTTTAGTAATAGAATCTGAAAGTTTTCTGCAAAGATGTAGTTGGTGGAATTATCCTGTTTTAAGGTTACCCAGCACATCAGGGTAAGAATTAGAAGTTAATTTCCTAAAGATTTCAAGAGCGCCCTTGTTAGAAGGCAGAATATAGCTTCAGCAGTGGATGATGGCTCATGTTGAACTCTATAATTAGATCTCCATTATGCTGGCTTTTAGAATTAATTCTCCATCCATCTCTGCTCCTTGTTCATGGAAGAATCTCCAACAAATGACTGTAGGTCGCTATACTAGACTATCAACTAGGAAGTTTTACATTAACTGTGAAACAGTTACCCCACCTCTGCTGCTTCCAAAACCTGTACAGAGCACTCATTTATTATATTTATGAAAATATGTCTGCATTGTCTTTTGGAATCTCATAATGAAAAATGTCGAATATTCATGGTTGTTCACTGTTTGTATATGTATCTATTCCATCCTTCTGTCAGCGTCACAGTCTTGGTGGCAAATGGTTCCTGAAGCATGTTTCATGGTGTTCTCTAAATGTTTAGGAAGAGACCAAGAATGTCAGTAATCAATAAGCATAAGAAAAGATGACTAGGAAAAAAATAAACACTTGAAAACAAAAACAATGAAATGAGAAATGGGTTATTTTGATTAATTAAAGGAATGCCCTTCTCTTTAAAAAAAAACAAAACATAATTAGCAAAATAAATTTTATTTCTTACACCTCAAATCTGTGCTCAGCAAACCTCTATCTTTAAATTTCCTAAACGGTGAGTGTGTTTTTGAGAATAAATACACACATACATGAAGCATCAGCAAATAAATATAAACATATTTTTGCTTCTCTCATTTTTAGTTGATCTGTTTTTAGGGTCAGATTTGATGTGCTTTTCTTCAGGAAATAGCAGTGCGAAAAAAGAAAAGGAAATGCATCATAGAAGTAAGATAAGGAAGTTTAAAAAAAATCTGAAGTTTGGGGAAATAAATTTGATTTTAAAGCAATTTCAAAGCAGAAGGTATGTGGTTTAACAGGATCCCTAACTAAAATGGTATAGTCCTCGCTAGTATTTCATTTATTCCACTTTTTAACTTCAAGACTATTGTGCCAAAGACAGGAAAAGGCCTCTAGGAGAATAACAAATCTGTGATTTTAATGAGTCTTTTATCGTGTTCTGCAGCTTTCTGATCTAGATTTTAATCATTTGTTTCTGATTATCAGAATGTGTAAATGCAATGCAAATATTTCGTCACGTAACTGATTTTGTTTCTGACTAAGTAGGATAAACTATTTTTTGTTGTATATCATTCACATTTGTAAGAAAATGTCTCATTGAACATCTTTAGAGATTGGCATGCCACCATTATTAACCACTATTTCATCTTTAAGTCAAAGAAAATGAAGCGAGATTGTGTGTTCTCAATTTGCAATCTACAAAGTGTGACTTTACTGTTTTAAGATTTCCTGATCTGAGTAAGGGCCTTATAAATCTAAAATATGGATGTATCTCCCCGCTCCCCGCACTTTAGAGTTCATTGTATGGAAAAATACCATCAAGGTTGATCAAAAGATTTTGAAAATCCCTACCAATTGTTTGTCAGATGTTACAGTCTTCTGGTTAATTTCATTTGATTTACTTTGTTCTCTTGCTGATTATTGGCAGACTCAGTCTCTCTGTTTTCACAAAGAACTCATGAAGAGGACGATAGGGAAACCCACGTATGCTTTTGAAGCTAGGGACTATGTTGTAAGTTTACCTGTGACGCCAGGTCATGCGGTCACGGCACAGGCACTAACCCCTGTGACAGCAGCGAAACTGGGGACCCAGGTGCTCTCTGACCCAGACGCCAGGAGAAGCCTCCTCGTACCCACCCAACCGCAGGCTCCTTCATCCCGGAAAGTTGCGTGGAAAAAGGAGCCAAACTTTCCGATAACAAGCTTCCTAAAAATGTCAGTGGGCTGAGCTTGCGTTTCTCCCCTTTGCTTTGATGGGACCGCTGTCTGAGCTGGTGTCACTGAGTATGATTTTACGGCAGAACCTCACCCCTAACACGCAGCTGGTCACGGGAGAATCACACTCTCGCAGACAGCCGTGTGTGGCTCCCTTACCCACATGCACATCTGAAACAGATGGGTCCGTAAAGGACAACCAAAAAAAAAATCAGCGAAGCCTGAGCAAGGTCACAGAGCGGTGAAATGACCTTCCATGGACCTTAGATCACAGACACTTATATATTCATGTTCACTGTCCCCTTTCTCTGTACTTGAGGTTAGTACCTGTGACGGCCCGATAACACATGGATCCGCCGGCTCTGTGTGCCCTCATGTGTTATTGATACTCGTGGCTCCCCAGGCTCCATAATCGCTGCCTGAAACTGACAGCTTTTTAGTACTCCAGGTGTCGCGCAACGCACTTAATGCAGCCTTTCAAAGTATTCTCTTGGCAGGTGATTCAGTTTTTAATTTAAAAGGATCTAACTGGCTGGCTTGCAACTTAAGACCAAAAACCAGTTTATAGTCATTAAAAAGATTATACTGTAGACCTGATGGCACTTCTTGTAGATTATCCATCATCATCCACTTCAGAAAACTGGATTTGAGAATTCAATATTGCCTATTTCTGTTGGGATCGGTTCTCAATCCTAATAAATTATTTTTATTATGAAGTGGTAATAGTCCTGTGTTATTAGTCTTGATGTTAGAATTCTGTTTTTGGAATGGCTAAGAAAAAAATATATTACTTTAAAAATAAATAAATTTTTAAATATATATATATATATATATTACTTTAAGTCATGGAAGTAGCTGAATAGACAGCAAGTTGAGTGCCAAGTTCAAATTAGCAATATTTACATGGTAATGTGTGAGAAAACATTTGTGTACGGTCATCTGCTTTGCAAGGAAGATATTTGCAAAGTTTTCTGCTGTGCACCAAAAGCGTTGTCTGTAAAAAACTCAAATTGTGATAAACAGATCTGTGCTAAAATTTACAGGAGGGCTCAAGGTGTTATGTAGGTTGTCTGTCTGAGAGCTGTCACAAATATGATGATCTGTACCTTTTCTTCCCAAAATTTTGTCTTGCTATGCCTTTCCTTAAAAGTATTTTTCCCCCAGAGGGAAAATTTCTTTAAAAGCTTAATGCCTATTCACAATGAAGTATCAACTTTGAATTAATCTGAATAATAAGATTTAAAAAATCTAGTTAAGGAATTTTTAACACCCTATTCCCTCCCAATTTAAAACCAAAGGGCCCTGGGGACTTCCTGGTGGTCCAGTGGCTAAGACTCTGTTCCAGATGCAGGGGGCCGAGGTTCGATCCCTTGTCTGGGAACTAGATCCCACATGGGGCAACTAAGAGTTTGCTTGCTGAAACTAGAGATCCCACATGCCACAACTAAGACTGGGTGCAGCCAAATAAATAAATACCTAAGTAAGTAAATAAATTCAAGGGGCACTTTCTCTGCTACTCTATCTCTAATGTATTTTTGGATCCCCCCGATTGCCTGAACTTTTAGGATTTACAACAGCCGAGTAAATATGCACCAAACTCTCAAAATACAGCTTTATTGCCAAAAAGCATGTCTCACCTATCACTGAAGAATCAATGTTTCTTTTCCTAACTTTGAGAACCCAAACCTTTTAATCCAGTTTTGGATCCAGTACAGTACAGTACTGGTACAGTTTTGCCAACCTCCAGGCCTAGCAGAATTGCAAGCTGCTGTGTCCTGGTAATTAACAGGAAATCCACAGCGGCGAGGAGTAAGTACCCCTCAGGAGTAAAGACAGTTGGCTATCTGTTTCCTAAAAGTCGCTTGCAAGAGCAACTTCTGTTAACACCCCAGGTGCTATGCAGCCTCTGAGGGTGGGGCCCCCAGTTTGATAGAAAGCCCCAGAAGACATCTTCTGTATGGTAGGAAGTGCCTGCAGGACACAGGTGGGAGAGAGCATTCATCTCCAACCTGGTGCTGAGAGGCTTCCTGGTTCTTGCAGGTCAGGTTTCAGAGCATCTTCCAGTCCTTGGTTCCCATTTACTGATTTGAGACTTTGCCTTAGTACCTTTAGGAAATGCCAGTGTTCGGATTATTAGAGTCCCTTAAGATAAAAATATTACCGGTATGTTGTGGAACGCATTGGTTTCTCAGCTCTTTTAGTCTGTGTAAAACTTTCCATTGGAAATTTGGTGAATAAAAGGCTCTGTGATCATTTCCATCTTTTATAATCATGATTTGTCACTGACTGCAAACTTGTATTAGTTTATACTCAGGCCGACGTGACCAGTCCAGAACGGTAAACAGAAGCTCTCCTTTCCTGCCTTTATACTTTGCTCTGGCAACGTGGCCGCTAAAGAAAGGCTTGGGTAGATTGGCCCCTCTTGGGAATTTTGGCACAGATCCGCTACAAGTCATGTTCACAAAGCACCAGGTTGAATTTACGTGTTATGTTAATTCAGCGGAACGGACCAAGTTCCTCTTCTTCTCATGTGTTGTTTCTCTCTCTCTCTCTCTCTCTTTTTCCCTGTTACCCCTTCGATTTTTACATGAAGCTTTCTCTCAAGCTGGTAAGCACAGCTACTCCCTGCATGTCCTGAATCTAATCAGGTCTTTTTGTGCGTTTTTGTGGGTGCTGGGCCATGTGCAACCTATCTTCAGAGTTAACTGTTGATGTGTGTTTCCCTTGTGTGCCTTTGCTGGTGTTTCCTTATTAGACCTCTGGAATACCAAGATCCAGAGTCTAACAGGTGATCATAATCTTTCCCCATTAAGAAAATTAACGCTTAACTCATGATTTGGTTTTCTTTACTACTGGAGTCTTAAGAGGATGACAGATGTTGATAAGCTTTATTTAAATATGAACATAAATATAAATATTAAATATGAGGAAGTTTATATATTGCATCATTCTAAATGAAAGCAAATTTTATAGTTGAAAGTTGCTCCTCTCCAGGAGCCACAAAAGCAGATGAAAAACACTGGGGACCTGAGGGAGGCATGCAGGAATGATGCTGGGCTCAGACTTAGGTCTAAGGCACCTTCGAGAATTGAAGGTCATGAAACTTTTAAGTTGCTCCATAAATACATTGGTGCCTTGTGCATAGCTGATTCAAGAAGTCAAAGACAATTTTATGGACAATGAAAAGAGCCTCCTAAGCCTTTCTAAAATGATTTCTTTAGTGTTTGGTGTTGTTTCTACTTTTAATTTCATAGCCCTAGTAAATAGTCAAACTAATCATTAAATCTATTAAAAGAAACTCTTAACCACATAACCCATACTGTCCTTCATATATGTGTAAGTTATATAGTAATCTCAAACACCACAGCTGAGAATATCCTGAAATCACAGACAGTGATGAACTGACAGTTCAACCAGGAATAACATCAGCATCTTATGCACTGTTATTGAGAATGTAGGACAGTATTTCATGCTTATCTTTGCATGTATGTACTTTTACGTGTGTTTGAGTACACATATAAAAGCATATACATAATTTTTTCAGCCTGACCCAGTATTTAACAACTGATCCAGCCCTAAAGAAAAAGAATTTTTTATTAAATGAAACATTTCTTAGAGGGTAAAATAAAATCCTGAGAAGAGTTCTCGATTAAAGTGTCTACAAGAAGGAAAGATCTAGATGTTTAAATGAACATCAGTATGAATTTGGGAGAAAGTGGATCAATTAACTGGGAGTCTGTCAGATGCCAGGGCTTCTTTTTTGCCCTTTATTTGTTCTTTGCTGAGGTGCTGGCGGCCAAAGATGATATTATCAGACAGTCTTTCTGTTTGAGATATTGTTGCTTGATGCCCTCACTGAAGCTAATAAAGAAGTTACACAAAGACAGAGTGGGTATAAAAATTATAAATCTCAAGAAGCAGCTCATGTCAAGGGAGCAAGTGTTTGATTCTGGTAGCAGGTAAAACAAGATCTCCTTAGAGTCACAGCCATTGAAAATATACATACTTGCCTGCAGCCCCTCTTCCAAACCCTGGTAGGGCCAGTCTCTTTGGGGCCCCTCCAAAGTGTTCAGAAAATCTACTCCAACTCGAAGGCAGAAATAAAAATTCCTTCGTGGCAAAATAAATCATAGCTTAGAGTATTGTTTGAAAGAATTCAAGCTTCAAAAGGCAAATAGGACAAAATGAACTTTTGAAGGTACTGTCCAGAGACCTGAGTTTCTTTGGATCTAGAAGAACTGTTGACCTGAATCTCCCAGTAACTAAAATTTTTAAGTTAGTAGTTCCACAGTTGCACTGGGCACATTTCAAGGGCTCAGCAGCCATGTGCAGCTGCCAGGTCGGACAGTGTGGACGTGTGAAAGCATCTCCATCATTGTAGAAAGGTCTTTGGTTCTCACAGCACATAGTGAGGCTCAGAGCATCTGAATGAATGAATATCGACCACTTACTAGGTTTCCTGACTTCTGAAGCAGTGCGTCTTACACTGTTTTGTCACATTCTAGCATTAAAACAAAAATGAAAATAAAATTTCCAGTTCCAGAAAACATGCTGATTTAAGTCAATTTAGCATGAGAAAAAACTATTGAGCTTTTGGGCTCAGTGACTGAGTTGAGAAAATTGGAGAGCAGTTGAGGTTCCGGGTATTATATGGAAAAGGAAAAACAAGTCTGCTTTATTATTATATTGAAGATTAGTTGGCTTCATCTTAGCTTTAGAAGCAAGTTGAACTTTCTTGGTTTGGCATTAGGGAATAATCACTTCTATTTTGCTTTCACTCAGATCTCGTCCCACTCAAACACATGCATGCGCACGCACAGACACACACACAGTCTTTGAGAATATTAGCTGAAAGGTCTGTGGTGGCCTTAGTGGTGAACTATTTGCTGAATCACAAACTTCCAACCCAGCAGCCTGGCATTTTCTAATAAGCAGCCTAGGAACTTCAGTCACAAGCCCCTGTGTAAGCTGCTTGGCAAACTCAAGCTGATTTTGCAATTACATTATCCAGGTCCCTTCTTTTCCATCTACTCCCAAGCAAACCCATCTTGTCTTTTTTTTAAAGGGATTCTAAAGCAAAATCTCTTTTCAAATTCCCTGGCTTATCCCTGGCTATTGAGCAAATTTCTCTTTCTTTATGAAAATAGCCTCATTTAAGGAAATGACAAGTAAGCGTGGGTAAAAGTCTGGCAACTCACGGTTGATATTTTCTACTTATAACACATACACAGAGGAAAGAGAGCAGTTGTTTTTGAAAGGGAATCAAGATATCAAAAATACTTCTTCCAAGACTTCCCTGGCGGTCCAGTGGTTAAGACTCTGCCTTCCAATGCAGCGGGCGTGGGTGCGATCCCTGGTTAGGGAACTAAGGTCCCACATGCCATGCAGTGCAGCAAAAAGCCAAGTGTACCTCTTCTGATGAGTTAGAAACAGCTGAGGCTAATTTCAGACATTATGGAAAGTTGGTTTTGAAACTGGGGGAATGGGGGCGGGGGTGATTCTCTGTGAATTCTCTTAGATGATCCTAAAGGTGACAAAAAAGAAGTGATGGGCCTTTTAGAGGAAGCAGAGGCAAGGAGAGTGGATGGGAGCGGAGGGAGGGTTTTTTCCCTTAATTTCCTCTTCACCCACATTCTCGGAGGAACTAGATGTCCCATCTGTCACTTCACAGGGATGGAAACTTTTGGCCTCAGCCTGTGTGCAGAGACGGGAAGGAATACTCAGACGGGATGGGGGTGGGGGTGGGGTAAGGAAAAGTGCCATCGACATGAAACAGTTGATGGGGGCACTTACCAGTTTTTTTGTAGGAAGAAAACATAAGCCTAAAGCTTCAGTGTTGCCACCCACACTGACAGCTAAGTGCAGACTCAGTCTCCAGACTTGTTCCTCATGATTCTCGCTGGGGTCAAAAGTCTCTCAGGGCTCCCTTCCTTGTCGGAGGCAGCGGGCCGGCATGGAAAATGGTTTGCGGGGCCTTTGCAGTTTGCATGCACTGATTTTTGCATCTCAGCTGGGTGTTGTGGGAAAGAGCTTAATTTATTTCATGAAAGCACACGCAGACATCTGCATCGCCCTGGTGTCTGGGGAATCTCCCTGCAGGCTTCTCTCGGTGTCTTTTTTTCAAGGAGGCTTTCTGGCTCATTTCTGTTTGTATCTGCAGGGCGCGACACCAGAAGATTTCAGCAACCTCCCACCCGAACAGAGAAGGAAAAAGCTCCAACAGAAAGTCGATGAATTAAATAAAGAAATCCAAAAAGAGATGGATCAAAGGTAGAGTGGATCGAAACGACTTATTAAGAAATTTAAGTTCAGTTTGGAAAGATGGGAGGCCCTAAATTAGATTTTAATTTAGGTGATTATTTTAGCTATGTGTTTGGCCATAGCTAGTCTACTGGATTTCTTTATTAAAGACAGAGAGGATTCCTGGGGACTTTGCTGGTGGCCCAGTGGCTAAGACTCTGTGCTTCCAATGCAGGGGGGCACAGGTTCAACCCCTGGTGGGGAAACTAAGATCACATATTCCCACATGCCACACCTCATGGCCAAAATAATAATTATGAAAATAAATAAAGACAGGGAGGATTCTTTTAACAAATATTTATTATTCTAAGTTTGGGGAACAAAATGCATTATGGTTATCTCTCTCTTTTTTTTTCATATGTTCACTTACTTTAGTAACACTACATTTACCATGTTGTCACCATGGAATATAAAATCAGCTTAGATCAGAGAATTTCACAAGTACGGCAAAACATTCTGTGGTATACCAAAGTCTGTAAGATGTCTGAGCAAACCACCTTATTCATAAATCACCTTCCATTATAGGCAGTTTATTCAGTTTAATAGTTATGGTTTTTGTCGAGAAGATAAACATACTGCACAGGTTTAAAAGGCGTTTTTCATTTACCTTTGCATTAGCACTTAAAATAGACGTTTCTGTTTCTGCTGTCGCTGGCATTCTACAGACCCTGGGGTTGCAAGGAGTCCGATGCGACTTGGCGACTGAGCAACAGCTAGTCACTATTTTGTAATAACCAATAAGGAAAAAGAGTCTGGAAAAAAAGTTAGATATGTATGTGTAACTGAATCACTTCGCTGCATACCTGAAACTAACACAACATTGTTAATCAACTATGCTGCTGCTGCTGCTAAGTCACTTCAGTCGTGTCCGACTCTGGGCGACCCCATAGACGGCAGCCCACCAGGCTCCCCCGTCCCTGGGATTCTCCAGGCAAGAACACTGGAGCAGGTTGCCATTTCCTTCTCCAGTGCATGAAAGTGAAAAGTGAAAGTGAAGTCGCTCAGTCGTGTCCGACTCTTAGCGACCCCATGGACTGCAGCCCACCAGGCTCCTCCATCCATGGGATTTTCCAGGCAAGAGGACTGGAGTGGGGTGCCATTGCCTTCTCCGTAATCAACTATACTTAATTTAAAAAGAGAAAAGCCACTTTATTGTCCTTCACTTTCTATATTCTCACTGAGGGAATTAAGTGAATCATTTATTAATGGAGATTTGAACTTAAAGGATAACTTGAGGGACTTCCCTGGTAGTCCAGTGGTTCAGACTCCACACTTCCAATTCAGGAGCCATGGATTAAATCCCTGGTCAGGGAACTAAGATTCTACATGTTGTATGGCATGAAGTAGGCCACATGGTAGTCCTGCATAAATTCAGTGATGCTGAGTGAGTGAGTGAAAGTCACTCAGTCGTGTCCAACTTTTTGTGAGCCCATGGACTATGTGGCCCGTGGAATTCTCCAGGCCAGGATACTGGAGTGGATAACCTTTCCCTTCTCCAGGGGATCTTCCCAACCCAAGGATCAAACCCAGGTCTCCCACATTGCAGGCAGATTCTTTTCCAGCTGAGCTACCAGGGAAGCCCAAGAAATACTGGAGTGGGTAGCCTATCCCTTTTCCAGTAGATCTTCCTGACCCAGGAATCGAACCGGGATCTTCTGCATTGTAGGCAGATTCTTTTTTTTTTTTTTTGTAGGCAGATTCTTTACCAGCTGAGCCGCCAGGGAAGCCCAGTGATATTGAAGCTGAGGTTACAATTTAGCTATTAAAAAAATAAATAAAGTTGGCAAGGCTGTCAGTTTAAATACATGCAAATGAAAAGTAGTTTTTTAATTTTTTTTTAATCCCTGGGAGAGCAACTCCTGAAAAATATATCACTATAAACACTGTTACAGTATGTTAAAAAGAAGAACACATATAATGAACTTTGTTCTAGGTTTGAATTAAAAATATACTTTGTGAAATAAAAATTTTGTCTTTGTACTTTTTATAACATCTGGGACTAGATACAAAAGGCTTTATAAATCCATTATAAATCTCATGCTGTTTACCAAGTGAGCAGTTATATTTTGCACTGGAGTAGCAAGTTATGGGGTTTCTTTGGTGGCTCAGACAGTAAAGCGTCTGCCCACAATGCGGGAGACCCAGGTTCGATCCCTGGGTTGGGAAGATCCTCTGGAGAAGGAAATGGCAACCCACTCCAGTACTCTTGCCTAGAAAATTCCATGGATGTTATGACTCAGATATCTGAAATGCCACTTTATAGGTGACTGACAGACCCTCCCTAATTGTTTGATTTCATGGAGAAAAGTTTCTGTCACTTGGGTTGTGACATTTGAACCCCCAGAGCAGCGCTTGCTAGTAATAAGGCAAATCACCTTCATCATTCACTTCACCTCTATTTATTGAGCATTTACTGTGTATAAGGGAATATTCTAGGCCTTGAGGATAAAGAATGAACAAAACATCAAAAACATCTGTTCTCATGCAACTTACATTTTACGCAGGACAAACAGAAAATGAAAGGCTTTGCACAGAGGTGAAATGATCTGGAAAAGGTTGGATTTTTGGTTTATTTTTGTTTAAAATAATCAATCCAAAAGGGCAAGATAGGAGAGAAAAAATATATATTAAATAGGCAGGACAAATCAAAGGCACAAATTAGGGTGGAAGATTTAAAATACCAAGCACACTAGACACCCCAGCTCTAATCCGGTTCCACCTGTTTCATTTGCAAACCTTGGACAAGATTCTTAACCTCTTGGTAGTTCAGTTTCCTCACCATGAAAAGGGAGTTAATATGCCCATGTGAGGATTAAGTATCAGGGTACCTCAAGGGCTGAGGACAGTGCCTGGCATATTGTGTTTGTAAAATAAAATGAATCAGTATGTTAAATGTGAACAGACTACATGTTCCAATTAAAAGAGATTTTCAAACTGGACAAAAACCTAAAACTGGCACACCACTTGTGTGCTGGTTACAAACGACACACCCAGCTCATTAGGCGTAGAAAGGTGGAGAGTAAAGAGTGGAAAATGACAGGCCATGCAGGTGTCAACTAGAAGGACGCTGGTGTGAGAAGACTGATTTTCAAGCCAAATAACCACCCCCCGCCCCCACACCATTCAGTTCAAAAGGATCAACTTCAGGGCTTCCCTAGCGGCTCAGTGGTAAAGAATCTGCCTGCCAATGCGGGAGACACGGGTTCGATCCCTGGTCCAGGAAGATCCCACATTCCATGGGGCAAGTACCCCGTGCACCCCAACTACTGAGCCCGTGCTCTAGAGCCCGTGCTTTGCAACAAGAGAAGCTACTGCAGTGAGAAGCCTGTGCACCATAACTAGAGAGTGGTCCCCACCTCCTCAACTAGAGAAAAGCCCACGCAACAGTGAAGACCCCGCTTTGTTGCTGTTGAGTCACTAAGTAGTGTCCGACTCTTGCAACTCCTTGGTCGGCAGCATGACAGGCTCCTCTGTCCTCCACTGTCTCCTGGAGTTTGCGCAAATTCAGGTCCATTGAGTTGATGATGCCATCCAACCATCTCCTCCTCAGTCGCCCCCTTCTCCTCCTGCCCTCAATCCTTCCTAGCATCAGGATCATCAGGTGGCCAAATTATTGGAGCTTCAGCTTCAGCATCAGTTCTTCCAATGAAGATTCAGGATTGATTTCCTTTAGGATTGACTGGCTTGATCTCTTCACAGTCCAAGGGACTCTCAAGAATCTTCTGCAACACCACAATTCAAAAACATCAGTTCTTCAGTGCTCAGCCTTCCATATGATCCAACTCTCACATGACTACTAGAAAAATCATAACTTTAACTCTATGGACCTTTGTTGGCAAAGTGATGTCTCTGCTTTTTAATATGCTGTCTAGGTTTGTCATAGCTTTCCTTCCAGGGAGTAAGCATCTTTTAATTTCATGGCTGCAGTCACCATCCACAGTGATTCTGGAGCCCAAGAAAATAAAGTCTGTTACTGCTTCCACTTTTTTCCCTTCTATTTGCCATGAAATGATGCGACCCTCTGCCATGATCTTAGTTTTTTTAATGTTGAGTTTTGAATCAGCTTTTTCACTCTCCTCTTTCCCCCAATTGCAATTAGTTTTGAATAGAATCTGTTTTTACTGCTTTAAAAAAAGAAAGAATGTAGCTCTAAGAAACACATAGATTAAAGAAGAAATCATCATAGATATTAGAAAATATGTGAAACAGAATTTTACCTTAACACACATTCTCCACCTACATTTGGGGATGTCACTAAAGCCAATGCTTATAAAGGGAAATTGACAGCTTTCAATACATATTAGAAACAAATTGAAGCAAAGAAGACAGAAAAAAGGAAATAAATAATAAAGGAAAGGGTACCAATTAGTGAAATACAACCACATATTCAACAGAGAGAATGAACAGATCCAAAAGTTGGTTCCTTGAAAAGATTAATAAAAATGATAAGCTTCTGGAGAGATCTGGAGGAGGGGAATGAGAGATAATGACTTTAAACACCTCTTCTTGAAGTTTTACTGAGAAATAGGGCAGTAGTTGGAGGAATAGGTCATGAAGTCAAGAGACGACTTGTGAACCTGTGGGTGGCTGTACAGTTTGCCCCACATCTCTTGCGTCTACTGCACTGGCAGATAGACTCTTTACCACCTCACTCCCTGGGAAGGTCACAGACTTGTTGAGCATCTCTTGTGTGCTAGGTGTGGTCTGGCCGCTGGGGGTGTATCATGTTAGCAAAAGGGCTTGAGCCCAAAGAGCTTCTCAGAGAGCCGCTGTTCTAGGAGGAAGAGACAAACAATAAGCAATGAGCATAATAACAAGACATGTAATGTTAGGAAGTAATATATGCAGTGGAAATAAAAGAAAGTAGAGTGATGGGACTTCCCCTGTGATTCACTGGTTAAGACTCTGAGCTTCCAGTGTTTGGGACCCAGGTTCAATCCGTGGTCAAGTCAGCAAGATCAAACCAGTCAATCCTAAAGGAAATCAACCCTGAGTGTTCATTGGAAGGACTGATGCTGCAGCTGAAGCTCCAATACTTTGCCACCTGATGCAAAGAGCCAACTCATTGGAAAAGACCCTGATGCTGGGAAAGATTGAGGGCAAAAGGAGAAGCGGGCAGCAGAGGATGAAATGGTTAGATATAATCCCCAATTCGATGGACATGAGTTTGAGCAAACTCTGGGAGATGGTGAAGGACAGGGAAGCTTGGCATGCTGCAGTCCATTAGGTTGCAAAGAGTCAGACACCCCTTGGCAACTGAACAACAAGGGAAATAAGATTCCACATGGCACGCATGGCCAATATATACATATATATATAAAAGATAGAACAGGGTATGTGGACTGGGAGGGCAAGTGGGTAGACGGCTCCTATAGAGAACAGATGGTTCATTGGTGCCCATCAATGGGCAGCAGGATGTATGGGCTCAGAGGCGAGCAGGCAGGTGGAGGAGTGGTGAAGACATAGAAATTCTCTTCCAGTTATTTCTATATTTTTGGTTAAGCTATTTCCCATGACTCGCAATGCAGTTGGTGTCATTGGTCTTGTGTTGGGTGATTGGTGTAGAGTTTCTTTTGCTGAAGTTCAGGAAAGTTGTTCACCCCACCTCCCCAGGCCCCTGCCTGGCAGGGAGTCATTTGCTCTAAATTTAACACGGCATTAACTTGACCACATTCTGCCCCTTCTCTTTTTCAGAGATGCCATCACAAAAATGAAAGATGTCTACCTAAAGAATCCACAGATGGGAGACCCTGGCAGTTTGGATCACAAATTAGCAGAAGTCAGCCAAAATATAGAAAAACTGAGACTAGAGGCCCAGAAATTTGAGGTAGGAAAAAGCTGTTGTGGAAAAGCTTTGTTGGAAAAAAAAAAAAAAAAGACAGAAGTAGGTGTGGGGTCATGGGACGCATGAGGTTGTAGAGCGCCAGCATTTCTTCCCCTGTGAGGGATGCCGCTGGACAAGTCAGGTGTTTCACGAGTTATGATGAAAGGAAAAAGACACTCATCCATTTGGTGTTCTGCTTTTCAGCGTATCCTGTGTTAACGGTGTCCCTTAAAGGAGACACTGTTTAAGGTTATAGTTACATACGGGTGTTTTTTTGTGTTTTTTTTTTCATTTAAGTGTTTCACTTAAATTCACCCAAGTTGTTTCGTTTCATTTTGTGTTGACAGTGGATATAATTGGGAGTATACAGTTGTCTATCATCTCAGTGAATCAAAAAGACAATTTTAAGAAAGCCATTCATATTTGTAATTGTCTTGCAGTGTCTTTGTCTGGCTTTGGTATCAGTGTAAACATTTTCAAAACATATTCTGGATGCAAATTCCTTTTCAGATCTATGATTTGCAGATTTTTTTTTTCCATTCTGTGTATTGTTTTTCTACTCTCTTCAAGATGTCCTTTGAAGCATAAAAGTTTTTTTCTTTTTGACCATGCCACACATCTTTCAGGATTTTGGTTCCCTGACCAGGGATTGAACTCAGGCCCCGGCTGTTGAAGCACTGAGTGCTAACCACTGGACTGCCAGGGAACTCCCAAACCATTTTAAATTTGATGAACTTAATATTAATGATGAAAGGAAATTTCATCCTAATTTATCAATTTTTTTTCTCTGTATCACTTGTGCTTTTGGTGGCATAAACTAAGCACCTAATCCAAGATCACAAACCTTTATGCTTATGTTTTGTTCGAAATTTTGTGGTTTTCACTTTTATATTGGCTCATTTTGAGTTAATTTTTATATATGGTTAAAAGTAGAGGTCCAGATTCATTGTTTTTTAGTTCTCCCAGCACCATTTGTTGAAAAGACCTTTTCTCTCCTTGAACTGTCTTGGCACCTCTGTTACAAGCCAATTAATCATAAATACAAGGGTTTATTTCTAGGTTGTTGGGGGGAAACCATTGAAATATGTTATTGTTGTTGCAAAAGACCCATTATCAAAAGATGAAAACCAGTAGGAAACACACATGAGACTTGAAGAAGAAACACACATAATGAATCGTTTAAGCTGTGAACAGAAGTCTTCTCCCCCCAGCTCCAAAATGTAAAGACTAGAAAAATAGATTAGTAACTGATCATTCTGAACAAAATAGATTATTTCTAGCCATGAAAAATCAAATATGACTTTTTTCCATTCTTTCTAGAATCTGTCAATAAGTTATTATTGGTTGAGATTTTAGAACCTAGAAATGTCCTTTTCTGGTCATTTGGATTCTTTTGCCATTTTTACACTATTTCAAAGGTTGCTGAAGAAAATTTGAACTACTTTGATTTCCTGTGTACAAGTTTTCTTCACTATTAAAAAAAAAAATTACATTCCTAAGGGGGAAAAAAAAGGGAAGTGTGGCTTTTAAACTGAGTCACTGCTTAAGTGTGGCAGGACCCTCATGGTTCCCAGGGTGACGTCATGGTCCCAGAATTTTTGGAACCAGGGGGAACTAGAAGCGACTTATCAGAAGTCATACAGCTGCTTAAGCCCGAGAGTCTTGGAGACTTGGCTAGTGGTCCAATGGCAGAGACGCCAATGCAGGGATGCAGACGTGGGTTTGATCTCTGGTCTGGGAACTCAGATCTCATATTGTTGTTGTTGTTGTTTAGTCACTCAGTTGTGTCTGACTCTTTTGTGATCCTGTGGACCATAGCCCACCAGGCTCCTCTGTCCATTGAGTTTCCCAGGCAGGAATACTGGAGAGGGTTGCCATGCCCTCCTCCAGGGATCTTCCCCACTCAGGGATCGAACCCGTGTCTCCTGCATTGGCAGGCAGATCCCTTACTGCTGAGCTGCTAGGGAAGCCCTAAGATCCCACATGCCGCGCAATAAAGCCCGAGAGTTTAAGACAGGCCGGTGTCCTTCTGTCACTGTATGAGCAATGGCTGAATGTAAGTCTGCCTGCACGTCTCCAGCTTTGCCTTCACGTATGTTTAAACAGTCATGGCAAACAGGCTGGTGGCTCCTCACCCCCGCCACGTGGTCCTTCTCCAGCCGGCTTCAGTGACCAGCCAGCAGCCCAGATTTGGGGCCTGAACCCTGCTTGGTCAGGCCCTCAGCTGAGCTCAGACCAGAGTCTTTCCTGATTTCTGTTTGCAGGCCTGGCTGGCCGAGGTCGAAGGCCGACTCCCAGCCCGCAGCGACCAGGCCCGTCGGCAGAGTGGGATGTACGAGACGCAGAACGCCCCCTCGGTCAACAACTGCGCGCAGGATCGGGAGAGGTACAGTATGTGTACAGTGCCTGCTTGGGTTTTTTTTTTTTTTGGCTTTGTATTTACTGCCCAGTTCTGGAATCAGAGACGAGCATGAGGTCCTTGTTAGGTCCCATGCGTCTGTGATGACCGGCCTGTGTCTTCCCACAGCGTGGCTGTCTGATGCCCCGTGGATGGTGCTGGAGCCTGTGGGGTGCGGGGGCTCCCCGGGTACAACGCTCCGGAGTTGCAAGCACTTGGCCCTCGCGGGGGCTGCCCTCGAGCCCTCGCTGGGGCCAGTTGCTATAGTTGCTGTGTGCTTTGCTTTCTTGAGCAGCCCCGATGGCAGTTACACAGAGGAGCAGAGTCAGGAGAGTGAGGTCAAAGTGCTGGCCACAGACTTCGACGACGAATTTGACGACGAGGAGCCCCTCCCTGCCATAGGGACTTGTAAAGCCCTCTACACGTTTGAAGGTAACACCGACTGTCGGCGTCCCTCTTCTCTTTCTGTGGTCAGACTTTCTTTTGAAGCCTTCAGAACCTTCCTCTCAGGACTCTTTCGTTCTGCTCGTCGTATCTGTGATTCTGATTTCTTTCTGGTTGATGGCTGTACATTTTGCCTTTGGGTCCGGACTACTGACCAACTTTCGGTGAGCTTAATCTCAGCACATGGTATGGAATAATGATTATTTCATCCACGCCTTCAATACTTATGGAGCTCCTGTCTTGCAAAGACCCCCGAAAGGATGGGAGGCAGGTGGCATGGTCTGGCATCCGCCCTGGGAGGAAATAAAGCAGACACACATAGAGGAGGGTTCTGCAGAAGAGAGGGACGGAGTGATGGGGGGGGGTCCACACGAGGATATGATCCCTTGCCTGAGGGGATTTATTTATTTTTATTCTTGGCTGTGCTGGGTCTTCACAGCTGCTCACAGCCTTACTCTAGTTGCGGCGAGCGGGGGCTCCTCTCTCGTTGCGGTGCAAGGGCTTCTCGCTGCAGTGGCATCTCTTGTGGGGCACTGGTTCTAGAGGCACGAGCTTCAGCACTTGCGGCTCTTGGGCTCTAGAGCACAGGCTCAATAGTTGTGGCGTACACGCCCAGCCCCTCTGTGGCACGTGAAATCTTCCCCGACTAGGGATCCAACCCGTGTCCCCTGCGTTGGCAGGTGGATTCTTATCCCCTGAACTGTCCATGCCGCAGGGAGTCGGAGGCACTGCCCAGCGTGGAGCAGGAAAGGCATGGGGTTTGTGTGCCTGGAGCTCCGGTGTCTTAGGGGCAATAGTGGAATATAAGGCGAGGAGGGGGCTGGGGCCAGTGTGGGGGACGGGGAAGAGAAACGCTTGGCTCTTATCTGGCAAACATCAGGCCCTCCAGAAGGTATTTCAGCAGGTTGTTGACACAAGCAGAGCTGTACCTCAGACGTTTATTGTCATCATATGTGTGATCAGTTAGACGACAGGGCAAATGCTTAGGAAACCTAACCTCGTGGTTCCCAAGCTGATGAGCCTTGAAACAGCGTCCTGCGGGATGCTGGTTAGGATACTGCAAAAGAAGCAATCAGAGCTCAGGTCGTTTTCAGAAACCTTAGGATAAGTGAACTTCTTTGCTGTAAGACTTTTTTTCTTTTATCCTTGCTTCTTTGACTCGCAGGATCTGAGTTCTCCGATCAGCGATCAAACCCATGCCCCCTGCAGTGGAAGTGCAGAGTCCTAACCACTGGACTGCCAGGAAATCCCCTTTACTGTAGGACTTTCAGAGCCTTTGATAAACTAAACGTGCATTGTGACATAACAAAGAAGAGAAGCCCCCGGTTCAGTGCTCCCAGTGTAACTTCAGGTCCACACCATCCCTCTCCCCCTGCGTCCACAGATACCGCTATTAACAGCCCCCTAAGCAGTCTGCCTTTCAGGACACTGCTTGGGCAGTGGTAACTAGTCTTTTGAAATTACCTTAGTGAATGGTGTTGGGGGCCTTGATTAGGAGACAGATGGACGCAGAGATGCTGCTGCCAATAAAACGCTCAGATGCGCGGCTGATTGGAAGTTGGAAACAAAGTGGGGAGGAATCCACAGCTGATCCCTGAAGCTGCGTTCCTGGGATGATGGAGATGTCCACTGAGATGGGAAAGTGGGAGGAGGATCTAGTTTGGGAGGCAAAACAGTGAGTCCAGATTCACCCCAATTGTGTCCCAGGTGCCCAGGCCCCATCAGGGTGGAAATGGGCTTCAGAGAGAAGGCATGGTGGCACCTTAGCCTCAGATAAGAACCAGAACGGGAGAAAGAAAAGTGGGGGTGCTGTGTAAAGAGGTGTCATTGATGCCAAAGGAGCGCCTTCAGGGGAGGGTAGAGAAGAGGACCTAAGATTTCCTCTGGGGGAGATAACTCCTGTTCTGGGAGGCAGGAGACAGAGGGCTCCCACGGGAAATTAGAGAAGGGTCCTAGAGATGCAGGGTGAGGACCTGGCAGCTTCTGGATGGGAGGAGAGTCTTTTCTCCAGTTGTTTCACTGCAAGACTCGCCATCTGCTCCAAACCTGGATTTGACAGGAAACCTAAACTACTCTGACTTTGCTTTTTCAGGTCAGAATGAAGGAACCATTTCAGTAGCTGAAGGAGAGACACTGTACGTAATAGAGGAAGACAAGGGCGACGGGTGGACCCGAATTCGGAGAAATGAAGATGAAGAGGGTTATGTTCCCACTTCCTACGTCGAAGTCTATTTGGACAAAAATGCCAAAGGTGCTAAGACTTATATTTAATACAACTTAAAAAAAAACCCAAAACTTTAAAATTGGAGTTGTTTCTCCCCACAATCATGACTGTTACAGGCAGTTCTTCAAAAGACTGGATGGGGAGCATCACCGTGCGTGTTTCCTTTAGGCACAAAGTGGGTATTCAGGTATCTTAGACCTGAATTTCCCGGGCTGGTTTTGATGATAATCCAGTGTCACTTGTTCATGACATTTTCCATGGAAAGCTGCCAACTGCCAATTTACAACTGTGTCCTTTGAAATCTGATAAACATTTCTTCTTGGGGCAGCGACTGTAGATAACCAAAAAGTTGCCTTCTAGCTTCTGATTCGCATTTCTGAATCTAAAAGCCCATGCGCGTCCTAGGGGTGCAGAAGACTTCAGCTCTCATTAATATCTAGTATCTGCCAGAAAGTGAACCACATTAGAATGTTACATTTTGTAACTTCATAAACTGAACTGTGCTAGTTTGTTAAGTTTTACAGTCATTCATTTTGGAGGAAGTCATCAATAAAGAATAGCGTAAGTAAAGAATGATGTTGGTACCACAAGTGTGTATATTTCCTTAAACATGTTTAAGATCATTGTTAGAGCACCGTGTTATCCGGTTATGTCAATATGATCCTAAACAACCAACTGAATTATGGAAAACTTTGGTCTTTCAACCAGTTGATTTTCACATATGACTACTGATCTGTCTTTTGCCAGTTGACAGAGTTGATCAGATGTGTTAGAGCTGTTTAGATAAATTACGTAAAAATAACTCTCCTCATTCTGTTCTGTTGGAGGTTTTTTGTGCCCAGGTGGGGCTGTAAGTAGACCCTTGTAAGCAGCACACAGAACCCAGCACATCACTTTTTAAGGTTCTTTTGGTTTGTGTTTTAATCATTGGCATCATTAAGACCCAAAGTGTATATTTACTGAAAATCGTTTTAGAACTTCTAGATCCTTTTATGTAATAACTATAAAGTGGTTAATTATATAATAAAGCATTTCACCATCTTAAAGGAATCTGGGTCACATGGGGATTTGCATTTTTAAATCAGCAGGCTAGGTAGTGAAGCGGGACATGCCCAGTGGTTGTGCTCATGTCTAGAGTCTTGCCTGAGATCACAGAGAACCAGCTAAAAATGAGTCAGAGTAAAGGTATAGGACTGAGATTCTCTTTTTCTTTGGCTTTGAAAATTATTTATTCATGTCCTTCCTACTTTTAAATAGGAAATCAGCTCCTTGCTTCTACACTGTGGACTCCTTTTAGAAAGTCAGGTCAATTTAAAGTTGATTTTAAAACTGACAGCAATGCATTATGGGGTTTAGGACCTGGCAGGAGTTATGGGTGCCTGTGGCAGATTCTAGAAGAAAGTTCTTTTACATTTCCCAGGGGCCACTCCATTATTCTTGCCTGGAGAATCCCCATGGACAAAGGAGCCTGGCGACTGTGGTCCATGGGATCGCAGAGTCAGACACGACTGAGCGGCTAACACCTTAAGGGCCACCAAAATGGAATGTAGTAACCTTTACCCAATGACTGCCTGATTTTTAAAACGCTTTTCATTTTTAAATAATCACAGATTGTCAGGAAGTTGCAAAGACAGTAGAGAGATCCCCTTTATCCAGCTTCCCCAAGTGGTTACATCTGACATAATTGTGATCCAGTATCAAAAACAGGAAACTGACACTGGCCAGCCTGATTTTGTTTTAGTATAATTTTGTCATTTAAATTTCTTTTGCATTATTATACCTTTGCTGCCATAATACCAATAAAGCCACCCGTCCTGACCCCAGATCTCTGAGGAGAATCATTTCATCCATACCACAGCAAAGAAAATCAGCTGGCCCTGAACCCATGGGGATTTCATGAACAGTAGGTGGTCACAGCCTTGGGCATGTAACCAAGTGAATACCTAAGACGTTGAAACCCAGGATGAACTCATTTCCAGACTGTGAAGTATTGGAGAAAACAAACTAGGCACTGAAAAAAAAGTCTTAAAATGAGGCAAGGCAATATTAGGCTTTTTAAAGCCTGACTTGAAAAGTATGGCATGCCATGAAGTCGGTTGATTTTTGATTTATTTGTTTGTTCATTTTGCTTTTATTCCCCTCCTCTTTAGAGCTGTGCAAATCTAATTCAGGAAATAGCTCAACTGTCTTTTGGATATGGGTGGGGCGATTTGGGCACATAAATTATGATCATTATTTTAGCTTGTATGCCTCAGTACCTTCAACCAGATAAATCTGGGTCCTAGTGACTCAACGACAGAAGATACTTTTTTAGTTTCAGGTCCATCTAAGTCAGTGTGCAAAGGATTAGCAGAAGTCTTAAAACAATTCCCGAAGAGTCAGGAACTTCCATTTCCACCCCTAAAGCACACTTTGTGTTCTTCTAACAGTTAATCTGTCAAAAGTAGCAAAGCCTCAGCTTGCGTATAGTTTTCTCCTTTTATGTAGAGATGCACTTAGAAGCTAATAACGGATGTAGAATCTTTCCTTCCCCTACCTTGTTCATAAGTCTGTTCAGCCTGCCCCACAAACACTGCCCTCCCTTCAAGCCCATCCCAGCCAGGTGGGGCTGCTGCTTTCCGATGCCTGCGACTCAAGAGGAGTTGTCTTACTGTCAGTAATGCCGGTGCACTTTTGTGTGTGTGTGTGTGTGTGTCTACCAAGTGACTATTTAGTAACTGCCAAAATAGTTAGACTAGAGTGAGGTCCATTGGCCAACTGAATTGTGACTGTCCTCTTATGGTTCTGTTTTGTTCTGTTTTTTTTTTTAATTGCTCTCTGTGAAATATGTCCATAACCTCCCCACCCCCCCATCTATTTGTATATACTGCAATAGAAAACTAAAAGGATTACTTGAATTCGTTGTTTTAACGTTTTACTCTTTTATTTGTTTGTTTTATTGCTGATTCTGCTGTCTAATGACCTTTTTGTTTTTGTAACCGCTGGGGAAGCCGGAAGGACGGTTACACTGGTAGCTAGGTCCCCTGCCGGCTGATCCGCACTTGAGTTTATTGTAGACACTTGGGTTCTGAGTAAGTTTTGTTTGAATACGGCCAACATGACTGTTTCCTCTCTCCTCCTTATCCTCCGAGAAAAGAATCTGTGACCTTGTAGTTGTACCTTCCTTCGTATCTGCCTCTCTAATAAACGTTATATTTTTCTCAGTGTTGTGTATTTTAAATGATTTTTCACCTCTCCGAGAAATTCTGTGTAATCCAAGCATTTAACCCTCTCGTCTTCAATAATGGGGAGATTTCTAGCCAAATGCTTTTTTAAAAAAAGAAAAACTCTGCCCTTTCCCCCTTGTTAAATGATGACACTTTCTCTATGTCTCACCCTGTTTGCACCTATGGGCTTCGGGAGTCTGTCTCTCGTTTCTCTTCTGTCCCCCAGATGAAGAACTTTCACTGTTTATTGCCAAGCAGTAGGTTTTCCTTTTCACCAAAGATGCTGCCTTTTACTGCCAAGGAACCCAGGGTGTCTGTCACAGACAGAACTGGGTCCTTGGGCTCCTGACATCTTTCTGGGAAGCTGGTTTCTTTCTTTGTCTCAGAACTTGATTGATGGGAAAGATGAGTTGGGGGCATGCAGGGGTGCACCATCTCCTGGGTGCTTTCTCTTACCCCTGAAGGAAAGGCTAGCTGCTCTGACTGCAGATAAAACCGTGAAAGTTCTTATCTCAGACGTGCCCTGCAGTAACCAAGTGCTCTAAAAATGCCTCCTCCCCTCACCCTCCCCAGGGCGGAGCAGTCTGCAAGAAGCAGAGTGCCCGCCCCTGACCTGCCAGCCCTCCACTCTAACTGCCTTTTTCTTTCTCTGTCTTTTGTGTTGTAGATTGCTAAAGGTGGTTCCGGGAGCCCGAGCCTCGGAGAGCCTTCCCAGGAGAAACCCTTCGGTCTGCCTGTCTCCACAGGCCAGGGCGCCTGGGCCCTGGGCCTGGGCTGCTGTGTGGCCCTGGGCCCCTCAGCCTGAAGTTGACATCCATCCCCACCTGCAGCTGCTCGCTTTCTTCTTTTCTTTCCTTTTTACAGCATGTTCCTCGGAGCCCGGCTCCGCCCTGGCCCAGTCTGGCCGCCTCTTGGCAGGGGGAGGGCTGTCCCTGTCCCACGACCTCGGTCCACTTGGCGCAAACCCGGCCCGTCCACGATTCACACTGTGCCTTTCCGTGAAAACTTTGCCACTGGTCTCCCGGCGAGACGAACCGAATCTGGGCGAGGAGGGTCAGGCCTGCGCCCGGTGGACTGGGTGCCCAAAAGTCACTGATGTGTCCCTTACGTTAGAAAATACTCATCTTTTCCCAAGTCCATTGGGTATTCGGTGGTCCTTTCCTGAGTATGGGCCCTCCCCAGGTACTAAACAATCGGCCCTCGAAATGTTTCACGGCCTGAGTGTCCGTGGTGGACACACACACACACACACATTTTTGTTTGCTGTCCTGTCTTCAGTGGCCTAGAAAAGTCCACACCGAAAGTCAAATTCCAGCTCTTGGGCCAGTCCCGCTGTCTTGCCTGTGTCCCCTCCCTTTTCATGGGGTCGAGGAAGGTCCCAGCCCACCTTCGCCCCGTTGGCCACCCATCAATGAGGACTGCGGGTCGTGAATGAGCGTCTCGCCTCAGCGTTAGCTCATGGCCAAAGGAAGCCTCCCCTTTCTGTGAATTCCAAGGTCCGCATCTTAGGACCCCAGTGCCGTCATCACCAAAGCCCCTGCGCTTCTCGTGGTCCATCAAGTGACCCTGTGGCTGCAGCTTCCACATTTTACCGTGTGCTCTTCAGGCCACGCAGTTAATCGACTTTGTTTTTTGCGCTAAATCTCCTTCCTCCCATGGATCTTTGAGGAAGACACGAGGTCCCGTACCCCATGGGCCGCTCACGCCTTAGAGCAGCGTAGCTTCTCTACTTACCTGGTGCAGAAACAGTCAAGAGAAATCTTGGACTGTGGGTTTCTGTGAACAAGGATCCCCTCAGAAGCCCCAGGGTGCCATCAGGCATCTTTCCTGTTGCTCGGCTTTTGGTGACTAGACGGTCATCTTGGGCCTCCTCACTGCTTTGCCACACTTTTGAATCTACGACAAGGAAATCTGACAGGAGCTGAAGGGACCGGTACAGAGAGAGACGGGTCCTGAGGGTTGGGCCTTGGCTCAGGGGTGGGAAAATGGTTCTTCTCAGCAAACCAGGGTTGACCACACAGCAGCCCCAAAGCTGCTCAGTCAACCTTTGGTGACAGGAAACCACGGGGGAACAAACGCCAAGGGTGAGCAGGGGAAGAGGAAGTGGCTTCAGGTTGGAGCAGGCGTTGGGCCCCTCTCACTCCTTCCTCCCCAGAGTGAGCCTCAGCAGCTGTGGGCGTCTGGGGGCCCCTCTGTTAAGCCCCATTGTCCCAGGCTCCTCAGTCTCGCGAGAGGACTGTCTTGGCAGATGACGGCGAAGCCAGGATGCCAGAGGACAGGAAGAGTCTGGGCTTCACCCGCCTCCCTGCAAACCAGCAGGCACGTGGTTCCTACGTGCAGCCCCAGCGGCCCCACACAGGGTTGGTCCATCAGCCAGGTGACCAGGCATCTCCAGGAACTTCTGAATTTCACCAAGTCAAGCTGCCCACTCTCTACTCCACAAGGATGCTAATTTTTTTTTTTAAAGAAAAAAAAAATTGGATTCTAGAGCCTCGGGAATGCATGTGCATTGCATCTTTCATATTAGGGGTCAGGGTAGATTAACTTCTTCCGAGTTAGGGGGAAAGGTATAAGCTGCAGTAATTTGTTCTTTTAAATGTCTGTTTAACCTAATGTGGACTATGCTGGTATCCTCTTGTGTTCCCTGTGCCTTTCTTTTTCTCTATACCACCTGCGTCCAAAAAAGATGGATAAGAAGTGCTTTTCAATGTTCACCTTGCCGTTTGCTTCTCTGCCAGTCTGTGTGGCTACGGGGAAAGGGGAGTGCCGTACCAGCTGGGGCTTAGTCAAGGAAATAAGTTATTCTAGGCTAGTTGAGATTTATCATTTACTCTGGGAATCCTACTGTGAAATTGTCTGTTATTATGAGCAGTTCACATAGAGTAGAAACGTGGACTCTGCCATGTGCTTTTTCAGCCTTCCCTCATATCCACTGACCATCATTTCTCCACCGATGCTAGAATATTGTTATGCCGTAAGAATGACTCATTTTTAAAGAACGTGCTCTGAAAATAACTTAAAAACAGAAAGTGAGGAACTTGTCGTTTACCCAGTTTTTCCTTTGCAGGGCAGGAAAGAATAAAAAGGCACGGTAAGCTGGGATGGGATTTTCCTTTGGGCTTTTATCATGAACACCCTGAAGCTTTGGGGTTCGAGGAGTCTGTCTCTCCAGCGGTTAGTACAGAGGACTCAGTTCCTTTTGGTAACATCTATAATTGCTGGGGAAAAGTTTACTGAACATGAAAAGGTTATGTGGATGCTAAGTGTTTTTCCAGAAAACTCAATTTCATACTTCCTAATGGCTCTGCCTCCTGTGCTTATATCATCAAAAGAAAAAAAAAAACTTTAAAAAGTGATCCAGAATTCTATTTTAACCTGGTGTCCAGCACCTTTAAACTTCATGGTTTATCAGTGTGTGTTGCACTAATTCTAAACTTTGGAGGCGTTTCAGTGTTGTAACGGCCCACTGCCATTGTAAAGGTTCTGGAATTGCCCGTTTGTCTCTAGAGATGGAATTAAACCAAATAAAGTGCTTCCATTGGAAGGCTTATATTGACCTTGTAACTATATGTTAATCCTCTAAATGTTAAATAAAAGTGTAACTTCTGGCACGGTATCACAGGACTGCTTTGTTGCGCAAAGAGGTGACCCCAGTCTTGGAAGCAATCAGAGTCCCCTGGGTGGAGGCTGAGCTCTGATCAGGTCATTGATTTACGGTGGAAACTGGACACAAGTCCCGGCGCCATCTGCCTAGAGAGGGGCCTCAGGCCCAGCCAGCTCGAAATTCCACCCTGGCCACTAGGGAAAAGCTGTCAGAGACCTCAGTGATGCGGGGTTCAGGTTGACTCAGTGCAGAGATCTGGGGAGGCTCCTTCAGTCCAGGATATTTTGCATGCAAATTTGGCTAGCAGCTACACTGGGGTTTGGGGGACCCTACTGACTGGGGGGGGTGTGGAAGGAGCCGTGAAATTGCAGCAGGTTTGCATTTCATTCGTGGTCTGGTGTCACGAGTGGTCAAGCCCATCCTCTTCTTGGCAGCTTAGCTGGAATAATCACTGGCTTGTGCGAAACTGAGGACAGCGTGCCGCGTTTAAGGGCGAGGGCCTTGTGCCTGCGCCCGCCAGCCCTTTCCATATCCAGCGCCGACAGTCTCACCCCGGGTTTTGTCAGGGGGAGACTGGTTCATGCCCAGACCTCTTTGTTTCTTAAGGCTCTTTAGAGCCAAGTTAGGAAAACAGTTGGTGAGGGAGTGAAATATTAAGTGAGCAGGGCGCCCTTGCTAATGCCAAGTGCCACTCACTTGCTGAGGGGTGGGAGGGGAGGCCACCAATGAAAGGCCAGGCCTCTCTGTGGCCTCAGCTCCGCCTACGGACACATGTGACCGGCCTTTCAAGCAAGAGCTTCGCCAAGTTCTCAGCAAAGGCTGATGTCTTCTGTGCTTGGAAGGATGGTGTCAGAGAGCCAAGGCAGGGTTCTCGGGCAAGAGACGGGGTAGTCAAGGGAACAAGGCGGCCTATGACTGTCCTGCTGAGGCCCTCTGGTCCAGGTTGTTGGCAAAAGCCTAGTATGGGAAGAATGTTGCCAGCACGTTCTTTCTGGACTTTTCTCATATTTGGGGAATAGTCTCTAACAGTCTGTAAGAGGCAGAATGTCTCCACCTGTCTCACTTAGAACCGCCCTCTCCACCCTAACCGCCCCCCGCCCCCATCCCCGCACACACACCCCCACCGCCCCCGCCGGCCGGACCGGCCAGCACCGAGGAGCTGAGAGCTGGGTCAGCCTGGGGCGCGTGTCGCCACCTCTCTGGCCTCCGGTTCCGGGGTAGTGGGGTGAGGACAGGAGGCCGGCAAGAAAGCACTCGGTCGACGCCACAGCTGCAGCTTAGATGTCAGTTCTGACAGGGAGCTCACTCCAGTCTCCGTGATGGTGTTATTCTGATCCCTGGGCAGAATTCAGGGCTGGGAGCTCTGTGACCTCACTCTGGGCGCGCAGGTCTG